ATATTCCTGAAGCCCTGGTCCAAGGGCAACATCAGTGATGAGGAGATTGCTGAGCTGGAGGAGCTATTCCAAGTCTACTTTTTTCTATTTACTCAAGAAATACAGGGGTATGCCAGTGAATTCCAGCTGGAATGTGAGTCCAGTCCCCTGAACTGCAGAGATTCCCAAGGACTTTCTTCTCTCTATTTTTGCAAGCTGCAATTCCCTCTGACCCTCTTTTCCTCATTTCTGCTTTACCCAACTGCATGCACACTCTCTTCTAGAGCAGTCTCTCGCTGACTCCACACCTCCACACTGTATTCCAGATCCTGGCTGCTTCTGACTCTTCTCTGACAGATTAGGGCTCCACATTGGTATCCAACTCCTGGTATGTCTTATGTGGACCTTCCTGCTCAAGTCCCTTACTTCTACCCTTTGCCTGAGTGACCTGCAGTGTGGCTTCCTCCTCTGATCCATCTCATCAGTCATCTCCTCCCTGTGTCTCCTCTTGCTGTGGTCCTCTGGCTCATGCTGAAATACAGCTCTCTGCACTGCATCATGCTCTGCCTCCCACCCTCCACCAGCTATCACCATACCGCCCATTCATGACATGCACAGCTTTCCCAATGCTCTTGTTTCTGAAAATCTCTATGTACTATAATTGGGGTTTGTTCATCATTTCACATCCAAGAACTTTATCCTCACCTAAATATAAAATACTAGGGCCTTTTCTCATGGCTTTTTTTCTTATTAATGTTTAATAACTTGTTATCTGTTTGCCTTCTACCTAGACCCCTTTGAGATCCAGGGCATAGCAGGCTGTGAGCTACGTTCTGGGGGGTCCATAGGAAGCTTCTTGAGGGGAGCTTTAGGAGGATTGGATTTCCTGAGCTTCGAAAATGATACATGTGTGCCTTCCCCAGAAGGTGGCATCAGGTCACGGATATTCTGCGCACTAATCATGCAATATAAAATTGTCATCTATATTGTGAAGAAGCTCCTCTTAGAAACCTGCCCCCGATATCTCTTGAGCGTCCTCTATGCAGGGAAGGCAGAGCTGCAAAGGCAAGGTTAGTCCTGCTCTCTATTTCACTTCCCACCACCTCCTCTAAGCTCAAGAGTAGGAATGTCCCTAAGAAGGAGAGGGGCTTAATCAACAAGTATTAGAATCCCAAAGCAGTGGAAGCCTTCACTGTCCAAGTTTGGCTTCTGAGTCCCTGTGATCTGAATTTGAGTCATGATATGGAAAACTCACTGCCCCTTTCCGCCCCAGTGAAGCCCGAGGCCTGGCTGTCAAGCAGCCCCAGTCCTGGGCCTGGTCGTCTGCTGCTGGTGTGCCACGTTTCAGGATTCTACCCAAAGCCCGTGTGGGTGAGGTGGATGCGGGGTGAGCAGGAGCAGCCGGGCACGCAGCAAAGTGACCTCCTGCCTAATGCTGACTGGACATGGTATCTCCGAGCGACCCTGGATGTGGCAGCTGGGGAGGCGGCTGGCCTGTCTTGTCGGGTGAAGCACAGCAGTCTAGAGGGCCGAGACATCATCCTCCACTGGGGTGAGAAAGTTCTGGGGTCCAGGTTAGACATGGGAGGAGGTGGTCCTCAGCCAAAGAGGCAGGCACTGGGGAAGGATGGACCTTGACAGATGAAAGAGTAGAGGGGTAGATTGATTCATTTCTGGGACCCCCAATCCCAACAGGAATAAAAATAGAGGAGCTAAGTTAAAGAAGAGATAAGAATAAAGGACTCACAGATTATGTGAGTTGGAGCTAGATAGATCATCAAAAGATAGATGGATGGTGTCAGCAATACGAGAGAGGGAGTTGGAGATGACCATACATTGGAAGCAGCTGAGTGGAGGTGCTGACTCTCAGGTGGGCAAAGGATGGCCAGGGGATTCAGTGGGTGGGATTTCAAGTGACATCCTTTTGTCCTCTCCCAATTGCCAGGACACCCCATCTCCATTGGCTTGATCTTTTTGGCAATAATAGTGCCCCCCTTGATCCTTTTGCTGTGCCTCGCATTATGGTATATGAGGCGTCGGTGAGTAGTTTTAGTTTCTTTGTTTGTTTGCTTAATATTTCTTTTCTGAACACCTTCCCCCTCTTTCCCGTTCATTTATCTATTTCATTGCTTTATCCTCAATATTTCCACCAAACCCTTTTCCCCCACCTTCCATCTCCTTTATGTGGAGATATATTTTTTAATCCTGTTAAAATACACATAACAAAATTTACTGTCTTTGCATTTTTACGTGTATAGTTCAGTGGAGTTAAGTGCTTTCACATTGTTATGCCAGCAATCTCCAGAACTCTTTTATCCCTCAAGATGGAAGCTCTTTTCCTATGAAACAGCAATATCCCATTTCCCCCTCCCCAATCCCCCGGCCCTGGCTAAGATCATTCTACTTTCTGTATCTGTCAATTTGACTACTCTGGGTACCTCATATAAGTGGAATCATACTGTAATTGCCTTTTTGCGACTGGCCGATTTCACTTAGCATGAGGCCCTCAAGGTTCATCCATGTTGTAGCATGTGACAGGGTTTCCTTCCTTTTCAGTCTTGAATAATATTCCATTGTAGGTAAGTGACACATTTAGTTCATCCAGTCATCCATCTATGGACATTTGGCTTGTTCCCACCTTTAGCTGTTGTGAATAATGTTGCTGTGAACATCAGTGTACAAACACCTCTTATACAGAGCTCTTTGTCCATGTGGTTTTAACAGATCATATCGGGATATTCCTTGAGCTCGCGTCATATCTCCTCTCCCATTTGGAATAAGCACCAACAAGCCTAGAATACCAAGATGTCAACCCAGGTGTCATTCTCATCATATTTCATCAAATTATCATCATATTTTATTAAAATGGAGTGTTCATAGATTTTAAGATAAGTTATAACTTAAACATCAGCAGAAAAAGTATTTAAAACTGTGAATTTATTATAAGATTGTATCAATAGTATGATCTATGTCTTATATATTAAAATGTAAAAAGAATGTCTCAGAATAAATGAAATATGGTACATACACTTAAAGATGACTTCTCTTTGGCTTACTATTTTAAAACTTTTCTTTTTCTGCTTCTACTTAAATATCATTTGTCAAAGTAAGGTAAATATAATTGTGCCAGGATAATCGTATTGCATACACGCACGGCATTTTTTATGTAATTTCTCTGTCTGCTCCTGGATGAATTTCCAACACTCAAAGCCCACCTGAGAAGCTTCTTCCTCTAGGAGGCCTTTCCCAGTGTTATTAATATAATGGAAATAACCTTCCCTTGTCTGGTATCACCAAGAGAACCAGTT